TCTGTGTACCTTGTAGCATAAGCCTGTTATTTGGTATCCTGCACTCTGGAATGATAAACACACCTTGGACTTGAGGTGTGACTTTACTTCCCTTGAAAAAAGGTGTTTACCCCAAGCTAATAGAATTTTCTTCCCTGGCACTTGGGACTCTATTCCTTCTCCCCTCTGCAGGTGAGCTGTTTGAAAAGGGCAGTCATGTTGCCTTTCACCTTTTCATTTCAAGACATACCAATGCTCTCCATCTCTCCTCACTGGGTCATGCCATTTCATTGCTAGTTTTTAACAATGCTTTTTTGATGCTGAACAACTTCATTCTGCAAAGAATAACAAGGCCTTTTTTCAATGTTTATGTAATAACCTTCGCCTAGAAATACTGGAAAAGTATTGTGATTTTTTGAGCTGGTCCAGTGGATTTTCCAGATTATCTCTTTCATATTGTAGTCTCTCTCAATATACTAAAACATATTTGGGAAATACAACATGAGGAAAAAATAATTATTCAATTGATTCATTTCCTCAGCAGATAGTTAATTATTGGATATGATCCATAATTTATTTCTACTGTCTCTTATAATGTGTATTTTCTCTAGCTTCTCCAGAAGGAACTTGAGAACATATTTTAAGTTTTTGGCAGTCAATCTTCTCATCAGCTCTCTCTTTTGTTCTCCAAAAGATTCAAACAGGAATATCGGCGGACCTTTGTTACAGTCTGAACAGCAAGTACTTTTTGATTATTCACAGATATTTTTGGAAACCACAGAATTACAGCCTTGTAGGTCTGATCATACGTCTAGAAGTTTTTATAAGATTACTAACAATGTCAGCAGACAAAGAATCTGGCAAGCCTTTAGAAGAATGGTCAGCAAATTGCTGCCCCGTGGCCCATACAGTTCCTAAACTGGAAATTTACAAGCCTGACATCTTCTCTAAATGCGCCACCAAATTTCAGTGGTCTGACATTTTAAATTAAGAAAGACACAAAACTATAATGTAAAACTATAGCAGATTTAACAAATTTAAAAACAAAGGAAAAAGCCAAAGCACCCCCAGGTCTAAAACAGCAGGAAAGTTCCAGCCCTACTGATAAATCAGGTACGTGATTTCTTTCTTTACAAGATTTACAGTACATCTTACTTTTTGCAATGAACTCAAGCCAAGAAGCACATACTGTAGTACACAGTACTTCCTCCTCCTTTTCCCCTGAAGAATCCTGTAAAGTAGGTTAAGCTGGAAGAGAGAGGAATTGACTCATACTCTCCCAGTGAGTTTCTGTGATTCACAGTGTCAGGATCTAAAATGTATATGATTTGAAAAACATGCTTCAGCTTTGGAAATGTGTCGATAAAGTGATTTCGTAATGGGTGTACCTCATTCAAGGATTAATGAAAGCTGCCCCTACTATTTGTCCCAGTGAAAAACTCTGCAGATGAAAGTTGAGTCCCTAAAATTCCAGAATATTGTTCAGTGCCTCTGTACAATGGATTCCTGTTGTCTTCAGCCCACAGCCTGATTCTACATTATCTTCCCTTTGAGGGATAAGAATGATCATTCTCTTCTAATCTCTCATCCCCTTAAAACAGTTTAAGATTGTCAAAATGCAACATTGCAGTGTTTGTGGAATATGACAATCAATAGCCTTGTAATTAATTTCTTCCTTCAAAACTCTTGATCAATCAGCATAATGAAACCTCTGTTTAATTGAAAAGCAGGTTACTGTATAAACCTGATGTATCTCTTCTCTGTCATTTTGATGCAAATGCTGCCTACGAGGAAACGCACAAAGTTGACTTCACCAATTTCTGTTCAAGCCAAATGATATTTTTTTTAAAAAAAGTATATGTGGTGAAAAAGGGAACACTACAGCTCTTTCAGCTTGAATAATTCAGAGTCTGCATTACTATTAATCTTCTCATCGTTCCTATCACCCATCTCCTCCCACTTATGACTGTATGACTGTAACCTTGTTGCTGGTATCCTTAAGATTTATATTGACTGTTTTCCTATGACTATCATTAAGTATTGTACCTTATGATTCTTGATGAATGTATCTTTTCTTTTATGTACTCCGAGAGCATATGCACCAAGACAAATTCCTTGTGTGTCCAATCACACTTGTCCAATAAAGAATTCTATTCTATTCTATTAATATTAGAAGTGGATTTTTAAAAAGTGTCTTACACAAAGTCAGTCTTTATCAGACTTTCCCAAGCTAATACCCTCCAGCTATGTTGGGACTGCATTTCCCAGAACTCATAATCAATGTGACCTTGAGAATATATTTGGAACCCTAGCACTTTTTTTGTATCAATATTATTGAATTGCTGCCATCTGTCTTGTAGAAATGTGTGTATCAATTGGAAAAAATTGTTGATAAGCATTGGACACTTTATATCACTTACTGCTTTAATTTTCCATGTTTCTTTCATAAAGCCAAAGGAAAATTTCTAAATTTCCTTCAGAGGCAATCTTTTTGGAAGTGTTTTTGCAATGATTTCCATGAAAACATATATGAGAATGTTATTCTTGCATGCCATGTGAGAAATTGTAAACCAACTGCTAGATCCGGTTCAAGGACTTTTCTTTGAATGGTTGAAGGACTCTGACATATAAAACATTTTACACATTCATGCTTTTTTAAAAACAATTCCCGGAATCTCTGTTAATGGAATGGAATGGAATAGAATAGAATAGAATAGAATAGAATAGAATAGAATAGAATAGAATAGAATAGAATGTATTTTCCTCCCATTGCTAATAAAAAGGAGTATTGTGTCCTTAGTTCCATATAGGCAGAAGGCTGCAGTTCAAAGTAAAAGAAAAGATGTAGAAGAATATCCATTTGAATTTGAATTGTATATTGTATGTCATTTTTTAAAAGTAACATTGGGCTCTTTTTTGTGTCAAAACTATGTTTCTACATCTCTCTAGCTAAAGGACAACCATTCTATTGTTTTTAATCCTTGCAAGATGCCTAGAGTCATGTATGTGTAGGTGGCCTTAGAAACTGAAATAAATAAATAAATAACAATAGAAGAATTAATTGATGGATATCTTGAGAACAGTGTGCAGCTATATGGGCTCTTCTCTAACTACGTAGGTAAAAATATAACCTTTTGCTAGAGCTGCATGCGCATATCCATGTAAGCAGTGGCATTTAATGTATGTTATTCATCTAAGATGGATATTAGACCTTAAGTTGATGAAAGATACCATAAGCTTATTTCTGGGTTTGGTTTCTCTCTTTCACTTCTTATTATCCTGTGATGTCTATGGAAGAAACTAAGAACATATACGCTGTGGGTTGTGATGGATCCTAAGGGAAGTTCTGCAATTCTTATTAGCAGGAAAGATGTGGGAAATTATCATATATGCCATTTTCAACAGTTGTCCTAAAATCCTATAGTTGTAAAGGACCATATAGGTCACTGAATGTAATCTGTTGTTCCATCTGTCTAATCCACCATTTTTCTGGGATATTGGCTCTAGGATTGTGCAGTTTTGGATTTTAATGGAAACAGGTGCTCCAGAGCATGGGTGTCAAACTCTATTGAGTCACATGACGTATCATGACATAGAGCAATGTTTTTTGCCTTTGCAGTGCTGGGGTGGGAGTGGCCTGCATGTGATGCATCTGGCTCATGGGCCGCCAGTTTGACACACCTGCTCTAGAGCAAGTTTTGCTATGTTTGCATCTTTGCATGTCCTGAATCATTTTTGGATATCACATACTGAATGCTGCACATTGATGCCACAGTTGATCTGTTCTTACCATTAGGATATTTTTTTTTCCATGCCATTCTATTGAAATTTATCTTTCTGTGCCATAAATCTATTATATCACGTTCTGCACTTTGGAATGATAGAGAAAAGGTCTTGACCTGCTATATACTATCCCTTCAGGTTGTCCCAAAGGTGCTTTTTTCAAGAGGCAACTGGACTTTCTGGAATGTATCTGGACTTTCTGAGGAAAGCACCTTTGGGACAACCATGACTTGAATGACTGGAAATCTCCATAGACATTTATCCCTTCAGGTGTTAAGAGTGCTATCATATCGCCACTCAGCCTTCTCAAAGGTAAACATTCCCAGTTGTTCCTATCTCTTTTATTAGGGCTTACTCATCCTTGCTATTCCTCAGTCTTTCCCCTTTCTCTGAATCTTTCCTAAAGTGGGATCTAGCTAAAGCAGAATAAAGTACACCGTACTTCTTGCCAGATAAGTGATAGGGGAACAAACTGAATATTCCTTGCATGATTTGTAATCATGTAAAAAATAGCAAAGCTTTGCCCCAGTCATGATTCACAATATAAAATAAGTGATTTTAAACAACTTTAAAACTGAAGATAGAGATGTTTTCAAAATATACAGAGGTTTTAAAGGATTTGGATGTTTTCTGTGTGTGTTTACTATCATTTACAGTTGTTGCATCCGGATTTACATATTTTGTCTTGGTGGCTTCTTGGTGTGTGTAAATTAATATTTACAAAAATATTTTTTAATCTCCTGGTGCCTGATTTGTCTGGGAGTGAAAATGGAAAACAACAAAAGAAATAAGAAAGAAATGTATGCACAGAAATCTTTAAATGTCAAGAAATGTGAAGTGTCTTCTAAAGGAATTGGTTTTTAGTCCCCAAGGAAAGAATCATATACTGACATTGATTTCCCTAGGGCTCAATTATATTGGACACATTTATCAACACATTTCCTGTTTGTTTGAGTGGGTGTTGCTTTTCATTACTGAGACAAGTTTTAATTTTTAAATGTTTAATTCCAGCAGGATTTAGCAACCTTTCATAATCAAAGCACAGCTGTTAAAAAAGGCTTAGTTTTGTTTCCTTTTTATACTCTGAGTTAGTTTCGCTTGATTTATTAGAAAGACCAATTGGGTCCCAAGAAATATGGATTGTTATTCAGCAGTATTATTACAAAACTTTGCACTTGTAATGTTTGTAAACATGTTTATGTACCACAAGTGATGCTCTAATTCTAGCATACTGAGTGTCAAATGGACCATTTTTAATAAAAGCTTACTGAAGACAACATGCATGACAACAATTTCCCAGTGATAGATAGACTGACCAAATTTTCCCAACTGACTAATTCTAAAAGTTCTGCTTGGGGTGTGTGGGTAACCCAAGAATAAAGTAACTTTAGAGGGTACTGAAACAAGATACAACTAAAATAAGGAGAGGAGTGTCATGAGCTTATTAGCTTTTAGTTATGTTGATTATGTTTTGACAGGACCTAGATGTAATAAAACAGCCTTTGCAAACGTCTCCAGAACATCAAGCTAGATAACATTAGCAATAGTAATAGCATTTAGGTTTTTATAGCACCCCATAGTGCTTTACATCACTCTCTGGGTAATTTACAATGTTTTGCATATTGCCCCCAACAATCCAGATCCTCATTTTACCAACCTAGGATGGAAGAAAGGCTTGAGCCAATCAGGATCGAACTCCAGGCTGTGGGCAGTTTGCCTGCAATATTGCATTTTAACCACTGTGCCACCAAGGCCCTGTCTAAATTGCAAACAGAACCAGGGAACTGAATAAAGTCCAAAATGCTACCTTTAGCTACAATCTGAAGATGGAAATGTGGGAGAATGTTTGCACCAAGGTTTTTGCTAGCACTGACAATATAAAATAAAATCCAGAGTCAGTGTTCCTAGGCATTCTTTCTTGAGAATACGCCCGCAGTATTCAGAATTCAGTGGGTTTCATTCTTTTAAATAAACATGCACAGAATTAGGTAGCATGAATTAATTTATAAGTTGTTAGTTAGGTTTTACTTTGGCTTCGGTATGAGTATTTTTCTATATCATCTGATGCATTTCTTGTGAAGATTACAATATTCAAGTACAAATGTGCATCCTGGCCTCCAAGGGTTCTTATGCTAGGACAGAAGGATGGGCTGGATGGCTTTTGTTCTTTTGTGTGCTGTCTTCCATTCCAAAGTCATAAAAAGAAACTAGAATGTAATGTCCACTTGAATTTCTAACAAACAGCCATAGCCTTCATCTTTTGAGAGCATGTTGGTACTCTTGAAACTTGCCTGCTAAGGCTGGGCAGGTTTTCCTATTTCCTATTTATAATCTATCAGTTGAGTAGAACAGTTCCTGCACTCCGTGCAACATTGTCCACTTAGAATGCTCTCTATCACCCCTGCTTACCTTTGTCTTTTTTCTGGCCTGGCAGGTATATTTCCAAACAAAGCAGTGTAACAAGAATAGAGTTGGAAGGAACCTTGGAGATGATCTGTTTCAACTCTCTGCTCTTGCAGGAGACTTATACTCTTTCTGGCTGTTCAGTCTCTTAAAACCTCCAGTGTTGGGGCACCCACAATTTCCGAAGGCAGTTTGTTCCACTGGTTAATTGTTCTGTTAGGAATTTTCTCCTTAGTTGTAGGTTGCTTCTCTCCTTGGTTAGTTTCCATCCATTGTTTCTTGTCCTGCCATGATGGTTGCAGCCACTGGTTACAACCAGTGGTTGCAACCATCATGTTTATTTCCCCTAAGAGAGTTTATTGGGTCCGCTTAGGGCCCAGATCCATTCTGACAAATAAAGATGATGTGGCAGCAGTTGACATTTTGTTTTGCAGGATGCTAGTTTCCTTTTTTTTTAAAAGTAGGGAGCCTGGCAGGAACCAAAGAAATGTCTACAGGCACAATTGTGTTGATAATCCAGGTTCACTGGAAGAATAGCTTCTCTCTTTTTCAAATTGTAGATACTGAGGAAAGTACTGCCCAGCTCTGTGGTCCCTATATAGCACCCAACATCTGGAAACCTGAAAAGAAGGAAATGCATATGATTGCCTGGGACTTGAAAAAGAAAAGCTTAAGTTTAAGTTTATTTTATTGTCATTAAATGCCATCTTCAATGTACATCGTACATAAGAAAACTATTAAAAAATAAAACAAAAGCACACATCATTCACATTCTACACATTTGAACTGCACTTTACTGAGGAGAATTTTAAGTGGAGACTTGGTTCTTTTTCCCCTTAAGTCTACGTTTAAGTTACAATTATTTTTTAGCATTTACATCTGACAAATGCTATCTCAAAAGGCATCTACCATTCAGGTTCATTTATAAGAAGATTCCATAATCAGTTACTCCAGTCTTCAGATAGTGGATGTTTGGTGGTAAACCTGAATTTGGTTAGGCATGTTATGTAAATATATCTTGTATTGTATTATACTTCTTTAAGAATTTTCAGGCAGGAAAACTCTATTTTTTAAGCAATTCATGAAGTGCATTCTTTCCCCTATAAAAGAAAAAGGGAAACCATTAGTGTGCAAGGAAAAACAGTCAGGTAATTACCCTATTTCTGTGAAAATAAGACATCCTCTGATAATAAGCCCAAACGGGCTTTTGAGCGCATGTGCTAAAATAAGCCTTCCCCCGAAAATAAGCCCTTCCCAAAAATATTTAAACAGAGCTGGAAATCAGGTAAGATGGCAAGAGAAGCCCCATCTTGCTCCTTGCCCCAAAATAATAAGACCTCACTGAAAATAAGGCCAAGCACTTATTTTGGGGTTCAAAAAAAATATAAGACAGGGTCTTATTTTCGGGAAAACATGGTAATGAAGCTTCTCAGTCAGAGTTCATGGAGTCAACATTCCATTTTTTTTGAAGTCGGTCTGTTCCTATGGCAAGCTAGACAGTATCTAAAGAGTGATGGATAATTCTGATGCTTCATAGAACAGTTCCCTCCTATACCTCCTGTTAGGTTTTTTATATGTAACTGTTCTTTGGAAAAAGCCCTTAGCTTTTATTTAATCCTACAGCTGCTTTTTCAGATACCCAAATATCTGGAAAAGGGAAATTGGGCTACCATGTTATATTCTCCAGAAGGCATCTGGACAATTTATTCCATTTTTATTGGGAGTAAAAGAATAATGTATTTCCAAAGTATGTTATAGATGTTCATATGCTTACTATCCTTATTTACTAGGGAACTTTACAATTTTTGGTTTATTGGAAACCATGTCTATCATGAAAATCTTAGAGCAGTTTTTGCAATCTGATGCCCTCCAGAATATGTTGGAATTTAATGGCCATAATCCATTACCAGCATAGCCCTGAATAACAGATTATTGTTTTATGAGAAAAATAAATTAGGCATAGGATCTGCTTGACCCTCTTTTAATTTATAGGAAGTGTATTAATCTTTGATTCAGATTAGATCTACTGCATACAGAACAAGAAATCTTATTTTTTTTAAGTCACCATGTTTTATCTTTTAAAGTCATCATCTTTTATGTACACTGAGAGCATATGCACCAAGACAAATTCGTTGTGTGTCCAATCACACTTGGCCAATAAAAAATTCTATTGTTGTTCTGTTCTGTTCTGTTCTGTTTAAAAGCCCTACCCCCAACCCACCAACAGCTTATTGAGAGTTTAAACATTATAAAAAGCACTGAGTTTCAACAAAGGCTTTTTCTGTTGTCAAAATGGGAACATTGAAGTTTGATGAGGGTTTGTATTGTAGATTTCCTTCACATGCAGTAAATCAGGCTCCTATAATGCATTTGTTAGAACCAAAAAAAATATGCACCATATATGTAACATTTAATCTGTGTTCATTTAATCCATTAACCAATGCTATCTAGACTGTAGATTATGTAGACCCCTTTCTGTTGGGCTTTAAATCTGGGTACAGCACAGGGATGGTATTGGCTGTGAAGATCTTTGATGGGACTGAAATAGGCGGGATAGGATCCTTCTAATCCTGCTTGATTTCTCAGTGGTATTTGATACCATCAATTATGGTATTTTCTCCAGTTTGGAACAAGGGAAGGGGGTTCGTTTCTTTCCTACAGGGTGGTTCCAGTTGGTGCTGGCAGAGGGAAGAGAGATCCAGCCTAAGGCTCTTGCTTTGATAAGTTCTCACAATATTTGAAACCATGCTAACGCTTATTCAACATCTATAGTCCCAGGTGATGTTATGTGTCTGCATGGTGTCAGATGCCATCAATATACTAGTGGTCCCCAGCTCTATATTTTTAGCTGAAGCAAAGCTGTGGAAGTCCTATCCTGGTGCCTGAAGGTTCTAAATGTCTGGATAGGGAAGAAGAGGCTTAGATCCAACTCTAGGAAGTGGCTTAGACTTCAAGGACTTGCCATCACAATCACTTACCACCTTTAGTCCTTAATGGAATTGCACTGCCCCAAGAATTTGTATGCAATTTGGGGTGTCCTTCTGGACACCTAGCAGTTGTCAATGAACAGGTGGCAACTGTAGGCAGGAGGACCTTTGCACAATCCATCTTTTACCCCAATTGCATCTCTCCCTGGATCAGGGTGCTTTTCTGTTTCTCATGCCTTAGTCACTTCCTGTTCAGACTATTGCAATGTGGTCTATTCAGAGCTACCCTTGAAGACTACAAGGAAGCCACACCTAGTCCAGAATGCAACTATGTGAGTTATTAAGGCACGTCCCATTTTGACCATGTAAAATGCTCCACTATCAGACTTCTCCAGGAAAACCTGAAATAGAAACTACATATTTCTCTGCAAACATCTAACATGGTTTTATCAGAACTGAGCAGCAATAAATTGGCAAGGATCAATTCCCTTAGGTAGGAATGGTGGTATAGTAGTACCCTGTTTCCCCCAAAATAAGACACCCCCTGATAATAAGCCTAATTGGGCTTTTGAGCACATGGCAATAAGGCCAAGGGTTTATTTCAGGGTTCAAAAAAATATAAGACGGTCTTATTTTCGGGGAAACACGGTAGTTTTCCACATGTCCCTATTCATATTGTTTTTGTCAGAAATGAACGCCTAAATTAAGCTACTTCCTTCTTAATGTTATCCTTAATGCATATTGTTTTCTGTAAGAGCTTTTACAGTACCACTAGAGGGAGACCCTGCACTTCAGTACATACTGAAAGTATACCATAAGAGCTTAAGTATTCAAATTTATCAACACCTTTGCAGTAATCACCACATCTAATAAGCTTTTTACAAACTGGTGTTGTATCTAGGTTGGCTCAGATGGTGAGAACTGTAGTTCAATTCTGGCAAAAAATGCTACCCATAATTTCATGTCAGAAGAAACAAGAAAACTGAACAATATCTAGAAAGCAATTGGTTGGAGAAGGCTGAAGGTATGTCAACAAATTTGTAAGTAAACACCAAATATTCCACTCCTATTAAGATTATTATCCCATCAACCTGGAAGACTTTGAAGAAGAAACATCAAGTGCTATGCTGATGGCACTATTCTGGTACCCTAGAATGCAAAGGATCTGCAAACCCTAGTAATAAAAGGCTTGTGATGTTCTGGGGTAGATAAACTGCCTTTACATCTGGTGGAGATTGCTCAGAGGAAGATGTCCAGATGTGTTGTCAAGGTCCAGGATAATTTTAAAAGGAATTCTTTTACCTTTTGTATCTTTTCTTTTTATGTACACTGAGAGCATATGCACCAAAGACCAATTCCTTGTGTGTCCAATCACACTTGGCCAATAACGAATTCGAATTCTAATTCTCCCCAAACATATTCCTTTATTAAGGAGATAAAACAACTCATAAACTAATCATTGAAGAGGACTTAAATCCTCATGCCTTCTGAATGGATATGGTTTGAGCCTAACAAGTTGTCCAGTGACTTTAATATGAATATTTATTGTGTGACTTTAAAGTTTTCCTGATTCATTGTAATGCTGAGTCATGCTGTAATTAGATAATCACTGGTTGTGAACGTATTAAGAGAGGTACTGTAACGTATTCAGTTGATGATAAGCTACCATAGTGTGTGGAGTTGCTATCATCGTTGGATGGATCTGCTACCATCGTGGTTTGTGAACCAGAGTGAGTTTGTTATTCTAACCAACTACTGTTTGTGTGGTAAGAAGAGTTTTTGTATCACTGGACTGATTTAACTGGCAAAGACTTGGATTTGTTTAAAGACTATGAGATTGTTTTTTCACTATAAAGTAAACTTTTGATAAACCAGTTTGCACATCTCTTATTCATTGCTCTCAGCAACGTTTCTCTGTGCTCTACACTCTGCTGGTTGGTAACACAACAACAATATCCTTAACATGTATGTACTCTGGAGTTTCAGAATGGGACACCTTAGTAAAGCCAGCTCGCCACTGCCAAATCACCTCTGCCAACTCGCTGTGAAGTTGTAACAGGACAACACAACATGGCCAATTCACTGGGGAAAGTCGCCATGGACAGTCAGAGGGACAGCAGGCGGGCAGACAGGAGAGCGAGCAGGTGGGCAGAGTGCAGAATGGTGGCTGAGGGCTTCCCATTTTCACACTGTCTGGCAGTCCCACAGCGCTGATCTCCGGGCTGCTCAGATTCAAGCCAATTGGTGGTAGTGGTGGCAATGTTTAGGCCATTCAGTGGTGTTGGTGCCACTCTCTGAAGGGCCCAAAGCTTGATGTGGCAGCAGTGGCAGCATCAGCATTGGTGGGGGCTGTGAAAACGGGAAGCCTCTGCCCACCACTGCTGCTCTGCACTCTGCCCACCTACTTGCTCACCTGCGTGGCTCTGCCTCCAGTAGAACCCCCGGCTGCTGCTCTGCACTCTGCTCACTCACCTGCCCATCCTGGTCTCCCTTTGGCCACTCATGGCAAGTTCTCCCCTGAAGAATTGGCTATACTGAGTTGTCCTGCAATGACTTGGTGGCAGTGAGTTGGCAGAGACAACTTGGCAGTGGTTAGCTGGCAGGGGTGAACTGGCCACGCAAAGTTGTCCTAGACACCTGGAATTTTGTTCCACAATAACTGTTTTGTTCACACTGAGTATCTCTTCAGGGAAGTAATTCCCTATCCATTATGATTTCATCAAGTTCATCCAGGAAAATTTGGACAGCTTCTTTGTCAGTGCTTGTGGTTTCACCTGATAAATGTATGCTACTGTAATGAAATCTTTGCCAAAACCACACAAGCCAGCCATGGCTGAAGTGAGTGCTTCAGTGCTTTCCTCATCTGTTCTTTCAGCGTTGTGAAAATGCTATGGCTATGTGCCTTAGCCTAAACGAGAAGGCTCATTGGATTCATCTTTTGTATTTGATCTTTGATCCAAAGTATAAGCAATATTTCTGTTTCATGGATGAGCCCTGTATGGTGTTTGAGTGCTAGAACTCAAATCATTGGAGCAGAGACCATCTCTAGCATCATTAAGCCACTACGCCACCTCTACAGAAAGGGATAAAAACTCATAAAAATAGTTTGCAAAGTTGTACTGGATTGGAGAATTAACTTCCTACAGATTCTCAGAAAAACACATCCCTTTATTACTGTGGTTCTAGATATTCAGAATGATGGTTTCTACCCCCAATGGACACCCTTTCCTTATTCTTCTGATTAGGAACAATAAAGTAAGGGTATTGAGTATCATTTGGCTCTTAACCTCACAAAATTACTGATTTCCTGAATCTACTAGGCCTCCCAAAGTTTAGTTAAAATATGTTTCAATCACAAAATGATTTATTGAATTACATGGCTGCGCAACAACCACAGCAAGAATATCATTTTTCTAGTCAGGATTACTGAAAATTATAATCTGACATGTCTGGAAGATACCAAGCTGGAAAAGTTTGATCCATCTACAGCACAATCTATTTTTATAACAAGCGGCTGTGGACATTTAAGAATACAGTGCAAAAACATTCAGCATCACCATCAAGTACAATTGTAATTAAGAAAATACTGCTCCTCAAGTGCTTCACAATTCTTACCTCATGCTGATGGATGAGTTTTTAACAGTGAAAAAACATGTGTACCATGAGGCAATTTTCCATGGCAATCGGTTTCCTCTACTTTGTTCCTGCATCTACGCGAGTCATAAGCCAGCCTACCAAAGTCACAATGGTATATTTCTTACAGGGAGGTGAAGGTTAATTGAAATAAAGGCAAAAATAGGTTTAAAAATCCACCTTTCAGGCGTATGTCACAATCTCAGGCGTTTACAACAGAGCTTTGAGTCACCAATAGTACAATTCATTACAATTATGCTGAAGAATACTGCATTAAGGTTTGTACGGCTCCCCTCCTTGGCAAATTATTATAGGAATGCACACAGAAAAAAGTATTTCATATAAGATACTACTGTCTTGCAAATTGTGCCACTCAAAGTTTTGTTAGATGCCAAGTTAGAACAATTTCTGGGCAATCTGCTATAAAGGCTTCACTTGGATCATGTTTGCTTTTGTGCCTGTGTCTTTGGAACTGTCATCTATCTCTTGGGTTTCATCATTGGTGATAATGAAAATGACTGAGGAAGAACTGAATGTCACTTTCTTCTTGGGCCTGTCCCTCGCCTTCTGTGACACAACAATGGGTCTTACTGGCTTTTCATTCCTGATCGCTGGCTTTTCTTTCAAAATCCTCTGAAACCTCAAAAGGTGAACACAGAGAAGCTGCATAAGGCACTGTCGAAACTGCAAGGAAAGAAAACTGCGCTGAAAATCCAATATTCAGATGGCATGAATGTAATATATTTCAGAAACAGGATGACATGAGGATGACATAAAGTCAGCCATGAGTTTTGGTAAATACAAAAACATGCTTGATATACAATCAGATGAACGCTCATCAGCCAGATTTCTATTAGCATTGTTTGACTACTGGCAATTAAAAAAAACCAGACAGGTCTATGTATAACAAACTTTATTTGTCTATATATATAGACCAGCACTGCATTGTTTAAAATAGCCTATGTCGTACTGCTTAAACCACTAACTGGAATGATCCATTGCTTCCATAATCATCCACTTCTGGCTGTTTCCTTCCTGGAATCTATCATGAACTTCTCAGCCAAAATGTATTAGCTAAGATTTTCCCTTTGGAATAACTTGACAGGGAGTTACAAACCTTTGGAAATGAACTACGACAAACACATGTATCTGGCAGCAGAATCCAAAGTAACCTTGATAGCTGTGGAGTCATTCTGAATTCCAGGAATATCTTGACATTTTTTCTCATTTTTAGAGGTCAATGGCCTGGATTGAAGAACAGCAACCTGGAGCTTCCACTAGCCCAGGTTCTACTTAAGATATGATGGACTACAATTTGGATCATCCCAGTGGTGAAATTCAATTTTTTTTACTACCGGTTCTGTGGGCGTGGCTTGGTGGGTATGGTGTGGCTTGGTGGGCGTGGCAGGGGAAGGATACTGCAAAATCCCCATTCCCTCCCCACTCCTGGGGGAAGGATATTGCAAAATTTCCATTCCCACCCCACTCCTGGGGGAAGGATATTGCAAAATCTCCATTCCCACCCCACTCTGGGGCCAGCCAGAGGTGGTATTTGCTGGTTCTCTGAACTACTCAAAATTTCCGCTACCGGTTCTCCATAACCTGTCAGAACCTGCTGGATTTCACCCCTGGGTCATCCCCACAAATATGTCTATTGACTTATGGCTTGGGAGTTGTAGTAGGATAGCAATTTAGGGAGAAGGTTAAGCAAGTAAGAGTCAAACCTACAATACCAGTTTGGGACTGGGGGAAATTGCTTACTAGGAATTTTGCCTTGATCCTTCCTCCTTTCCATAAAGAGTCTGTTGGTTTTGTATCAGAACAAAAATTAATCCTGTTGTTTATGTACTTCAACTACCAGAGCAGAACATGCATTTGTGAAAATGAAGTATTAGTTTCTTCTAACATTTGAGAAGTTGAGAAAAATGAACTGAATGTGATTTACCATTATTAGGTTTCTTTAAGTGACTTACCTTTCTATTCATGAAAATAAAGATAACAGGGTTGTAGGCAGTGTTTGATTTGGCAAAGAAAGATGGGATAATAGCCACTGTTGGAGTTACAAGGTGACTGTAACCATAGGCTATTAAAAGTGAAACCACAGCATATGGCATCCAGCAAATAAGAAACGTGGTTATCATTAAAAAACACATTTTAGCTACTTTCTTCTCATATCTTAAGATTTTGATCACATGGACAGTTTGCAAGTCTTCCACACAATGAAACTGGAAATGAAAAGAAACAGATTAAAATGTCTCATTTAGAATTCTAATCATATTTCTCTCTCTTGAAAAAATTGAGCTCTTGTCTTTCTGACACAATGTATAATGTACAATGTATTTCTTGGGACAGGCTACCACAGTGTGATAACCATCACTTAGAATGGTAGAACAGATCTATGTTGTTTTCCAATCAGCCAATTTCTCTCCAGCCAGGAATTTATTTGAAGTAAACATTGGATTGGATGCTGGAATGGAGGAGGACTGGACAAAAATCACTCAAAATTCTTTTTCTTTTAATAAGATAGCACTGGACTTCAGTGACTGGATTTATCAGGCTAAACCCAAATAACATTGCACTATTAAATAAGACACCCTTAAACACATTTCATTTGTATCAGGAGGACTGAATTGTTTCTAAATATATTTAGTATTACAGCCATACTGCAAATGGATTTCTACTGAATTATGTGTTTCTTGGGAACGTTATTACTCATTTCCCACTGAACAAAACAGAATTCAGCTTTAGGAAACATGCTGAAATTACTTTTTAGCCAAGCTTTCCCCATCTGGCATCTTCCAAAACCTATACAATAATTTTCCAGGCAACATGGTCTTTGGCCATCTTGCTGGTAATTATAGCAATAGCACTTAAGATTTATATAACGCTTCATAATGTTTTACAATTCAGGATATGGTCCTCAATAATCTGGCCCTCATTTTAGTGACCTCAGAAAGATGGAAAGCTGAGTCACCCTTGAGCGGGTCAGGATTGAACTCCTGGCAGTGGGCAGAGTTAGCCTGCAATACTGCATTCTAACCACTGTACCACCACCGCTCAGCAATATTTTAGGGAAGACCATATTAGGATCACTATTCTAGTCCTTGATTCTCAGAGTGATTGAGAGTCAGAAGCACACAAGATTAATAAAGTATCAGTATTTTCTCAATTATTTGTTCCATTTCTTTTTAAGACAGTTAACTTTTAAGACAGTAACTTTTTAAGACAGTAATAGAACCCCCATGCCACCTCCCCCAAAATATAATAAAATATATACAGATCAAATTCAGCTATCACTTTTAATATCAGGCAAACTATGTGAGGTTGCACACTGTCAGAAAAACTAAGGCAAATTATGAAAATATGTACTGTATGTAAGTAATAACAGGCACATACAATAAAAAGCACTTTTTCATGTTCTAATCACTGTTTAGCCATGAATATTGTATTTGCTTACTGAAAAAGTCTAGGGGCAAGCTATTAGTTTAACCAACTCACCATTCGTACTGCGTGAAGAATATGCCCATAGCAGTAGACTACGATTCCAAGTGGTACCACTAGACAACCAAAAAAGAAAAAGAGGACAAAGGAAGTATCACTGGGTTCTCTTGAACTCCAGTCCACTGAACAACCTAATCCATGAAGTTCTAGGGTGTAGTGGTTCCAGCCAAGAAGAGGTGCTCCTGTCCAGGCTAAGGAATAAAGCCAGATATATGTGATTGCCCTCCAAGACCACGAGAAATCAATCACTCTTGCATGCACTACTCTAATGTACCGCTCATAGGCCAAGACAGTGAGAGTCATAAGCGAAACAATTCCTGCAGGGAGATATAAAACAAAGCAAGCATTATACAATAATTTTTAAATCGTCTGATATAACTGTCCTGCATACAGACATGTGGATTTCTAGTCTTGTTTTATTATTCTATACTTATAGCTCTGTATCAGGAGTGTCAAACTCGCAGCCCGCAGGCCAGTTGCATCACGCACTGGCCACGTCCGCCCCCGGTTTAGAGAAGGGGAAAGTCATGATACATCATGTGATGCCAACGTGACACCATGAGTTTGACACTCCAGCTCTATATGCACAATGAAATATAGACAGAAAAAAGAAAATATATGTTTTTCCATCATTGGGAGAGCTGCAAGCCAAGAACATCTTTCGCTAATCACCACCACAGTGTTAATTCTTGAAATCAAATATTGAAACATCAGATCACCCTTCTTTCATTCGATGCCCTCCCAAAATGTTGGGAATGCAGCTCCCAAGATTCCCTAGTCAGAAGTAATTTCTTACCAACTCAACTAGTCTAGACTACAGCAAAATCATTAAGAACGCAATTAAAATACATATATTTCACAATATATGTCTGTGAAATATTGTTGCTTACCAATACAACTGATACCATTTATAGGAGCCTCAACGGATATATGTGAATGTGAATTTGGGCAAAGTCTGGGAAACAGTGGAGGACACGGGATTTTGGCGTGCTACGGTCCATGGGGTTGTGAAGAGCTGGACACAATTTAATGACTGAACACCTGATTTACTGGACCACAACTAACCAGTAGCCAGGATCATGAAGAGTAATGTGAATTGTAGTCTAACAGCTAGGAAAGGGTTCCATTTTGCAAATACCAATTAGAATAATTGAGTCTGATTCACTACTTGACATAATGAATGTGGAATTTGGGGTGGTAGGTGGCTTCATGTAACATTTGGGGGTGGGGGAAGAGCAGCATTATATACATGCAGCCTGCCACTTTTTAAAAAAGAAGTATATGCAGAGCTGCCACCCCTGCCACCCCAAAAGACATGCCGAGCACCTCCAAGCCTTGTCACAACTGCCAGCTCCAGCATTTCCACCATTATGCTAACTAAAGAACAATTTTTTGACATTCCATATATTTCTTTGAGGCTTATGAGGATATTTAATTTATTAACATGGTCCTTTCTCCTCGATGTGCAGGCCAGTTCTATATACAAATTCTAATTGAAAGAATTTCACATTTCAGTAAGTAGGCTTCAGCCAAGGCACAATGAAACAAATCCCATTACATGTTAAAAACTAAGAATCTCTTTTGAGTTTGTCAATATGGGCTGACTTAGACTTGTGAATAAATCAGTACAAAGAACACTTAGAGTTGGCAACTCAGATGACATCTCAGATGTTGCATCCACTCAACTATCTGAAATAAACAGAATGAACAGTTCATGGGGCACAAATAAATGCCGATTTTACGTTACTATATGATAGGTATTAATTGGAATAGAGAGAAGTCAGAAAAAAAATAAGTAATCTAACATCTTCTTGCCCATTGATATTCTATTACCAATACTTTCTCCAATGCCATCTCACAGTGGACATGTTGGGAAGGGAGAAGTTCTATATTAAGATTTGAATGATCGATATAAATATATAAACAAAGAGTCAATGGATGTTTATTTATTTATTAAACACATTTATATGGCTTTCCAACTCACACATAGTCACTTTAGGTAGTTTACACCAGAGTCCCCAACCTTTGCAGCTGGAGAGGGAAAGGGGAAAACTGGACTGTGCGAGTGGCGGGCAATGGATATGTGCATTCAGCTCTTGCACAAGTGGTAGGCTAGCGCGCATGCATGCAGTTTGACTTGCACAAGTGGCGGGCCGGCATGCTATTCCCCACTGGTCTGCCACTCATGCAAGTTGAGCTGTGTGCACGCACATGTGTGCTCGTTCTGGCCAGCCATTCATGCGGCTCAATTATGAAAAAGCAATGGCTCAGTACTGGGCCATGGCCCAGAGATTGCAGACCCCTGACTTGCATTGTTAAAAAAATAACAAAATAAAGACAGCTTATACTTAGCCAGAGAATACGCATTTTGTTAAACAATTCAATTTTCACAAGATTTTCTTTAAATACATACTCTTAATACCCCAAAGCTTTCCAAGATTTAGGAATGCAAGAGATAAAAATAGCCTATTTTTAAGCAAGCACGATGTTCTAAAAGTTTCAGTGCAGGCTATGCCCTATTAACTTTTGTACATCAAAATCAGCAGAGCGTCTGTTTTGGGCTTCTGAACTTGCCCAACCTTTAAAAGATGTCTCCATCAGCAACTTTTAAACTTTGTGTTCTATTATTTTAACTACCTCTCCTGTACACTTTCCTCCTTGATCTAATTAGACTTTGCTTGCAATGGATAAATAGCATGTAGAATCCTATAACTTTCTTCCTGCAAATAAAGAATTTTTACACTGTACTTTTTTTAACTGGAATGAACCTTTGCTTCCAGAGGATTCAGCCTAACTATTCATCCTGCTCAATGCAGTCGTAGTAGAAATCATTTCCAGAGATTAAGTCCCTGAAGTTAGCTCAAATTGTTTAAAAGCTCTTGCTTATCGGATCAGATTATTTTAAGGTAACTAGGTAGTACTGGGTCTATATTATAAACTTAGCCAAAATTCAAACAACGTGATAGCGTAGCATGAATAAGATCCCAGCAGTCATTTATTCAACTAACATGGTTAAGCCAACCACAGTTAAGCAAGAAGTTTGAATCAGTAAGTACTTTGAAGTCCCTGAAGTACCAGTGATTTTCCTAATAAGTTAGGTCTCCTTCTCTTTTATGTGAATTTTCTATTTCTCCAATACCAAACCAACCATTTTCCCCCATTTTGCTTGGAAAAATCAAAGCTTTTCCTTAAGCTGAACCTGTGTCAATACTTACCTTTTCTCCTTGACCTTCATGTATAGCCATTAAACTTTCTTTATGTTGTTTGTAACTCTGTTTGCATGGCATGTAAACACAAAAATATAATCAGACTTGGGACAAAGGAAGTTGGCTTTTTATTTAGAACAGCTCCAGTTGTTTTGGGTTAAAATAATCTTCTCCAGTCAGATACGTTTTTGAATGCAGAAGAGAGTCTCAATAAGGTTACCCTCTTCAACTACAGAACACAAAGAATGCAGAGTGGCTTTGCGACAACAGGGCTACGTGAAAAAACTAACCCTGCTAATTTTTTGTCACGAACGAGCCCTTATGTCCCACTTGTAATTGCAAGGAAGCAGACACAAACACAACCATGGGCACTGGATTCATTTGCATATCCGGTATTCTGGACCAACCAGATAACGTTCCACTAGGACGTTTCAGCTATAGGATTCAACTTGCAAATAAAATACAAAAATTAAGTCCAAAAACAATTTTATACATCAATGATTCCATATAAAGACTGGCTTGTTTTTTACTTCATTTTCATTTTTCATTTCATTTTATTTGATTTATATACCACCCTACTCCCGAAGGACTCAGGGCGGTGAACAGGCACAAGATAAAACACATAGAATACAAAAATTTAAGAGCAGAAGTAAAATAGAATTAATCAATTTAGCCCAAGACAAATTTAAAACCCCAGGTTAAGAACAAATTAAAATTTACATTAAAAAGAGAATGGGAGAGGTTAGGCCAGATCAGCCTGGTGAAATAAAAAGGTCTTGAAAGCGCGGCGGAAGGTGTTTAGATCCGGGATCCTCCGTATCTCCGGGGGGAGCTCGTTCCAGATAGTAGGTGCCCCCACAGAGAAGGCTCTCCCCCTGGGGGCCGCCAGCCGACATTGTTTGGCCGACGGCACCCGGAGAAGTCCCTCTCTGTGAGAGCGTACCGGCTGGTGGGAGGCTGTTTGCGGCAGCAGGCAGTCCCATAAATAACCAGGCCCTAAGCCATGGAGCGCTCTAAAGGTGGTAACCAAATAAAGGTGGTAACCAAATAAAGCTTAAATAAAATGTGTACATTTGGGTTCCTTAGGAATACTTACCTGGATTATTTCCTAATGGGGTCTCTGAACCAGGCTACACATCTGGAATAGGGTAACTGATAATTGCATGTCAGTTTACAGCTGAGGCATTGGCTATGCCTATCTTAGAGAAGTCTCTAGATAGAAATGACAGCAGTTTTCAAGTATATGAAGGGCTATCAGATGGAGGATGGGTATATTTGAATAGAATAGAGCTGGAAGGGACTTTGGAGGTTTTCTATGCAGCCCCCTACTCAAGCAGGAGAACCTGTACTATTTCAGATAAGTGGCTGTCTAGTCTCTTCTTAAAAACCTCCAGTGATGGAGTGCCCACGATTTCTGAAGGCAAGCTATTCCACTGGTTAATTGTCCTCACTGTTAGGAAGTTTTTCCTTAATTCCAGGTTGCTTCTCTCTTTGATTAGTTTTCAACCAGTTTCTTGTCCTGCCCTCTGGTGCTCTATAGAATAATTTGATCCCCTCTTCTTTGTGGCAGCCCCTCAAATACTGGAATATTGCTATCATGTTGCCCCTAATTCTTCTTTTCTTTAGACTAGCCAAGCCCAAATCCTGCAGCCATTCTTTGTATGTTTTAGTCTCTAGGCCTTTCATCATCTTAGTTGTTCTTCTCTGAACTTTTTCCAAGGTCTCAACATCTTTTTTGTAGTATGGTGACCAAAATTGTTTGCAGTATTCCAGGTGTGGTCTTACTAGGGTTTTATAAAGCAGTAGTAATACTTCACGTGATCTTGACTCTATGCCTCTGTTTATACAATTCTGTTTATACATTTGTTTAATGTTGTTTTAGAAAATAGAACAAGAATCAGTGAACATACATTGCAAGGAATGAGATTTGGTTGGACATCACCAAAAAAGTTAAGGGCTGTAAAACATTGCAATAAAAAGATGTGGGACATATTTATACAGAGGCTTGATGGAATCTACAGTTGTAGATTCGTGAAGTGGACAAGAGATGATGATCTTTAAGATGACTCCCAATCCTTGCATTCTACCTTTCCATGATTGTTGCTAGCATT